ACCCTCAGGCACCTAAGAGAAACTGTTCCTGAGCAAGGTAGCTTAGCGGTCTGTGTCCAGAACCTACCTAAGCTGGGCCCGAGACCTGGCCAGTCCCAGGCCCTGACACACGTGGGTACAAGGAATTGAGGCAGCAAATCCCAAATGCTGGGAGTCTGGTCCATCATAGATGTGATTAATGCATGTAATTCATTTATATATTTCTGCATTTTTGCTTCTTCCTATTGTTGGCCAAGATATTCAGTTTACGAATTTAATTAAAAACTACGTTCATGTGGGAAAACGTTAAATGAAGAAAATGGATCCATAATTAGTGTTTGGAACTTTCTGCTTTACACGGTGAAGCTATTCTGCTGTGCGTGCCCTGAAGTATATCTGCATTCATTGCAGTGATGTGTTCTTTTTACTCTGTGGTTATTTCTTTGTTTTATAAAAGCTTAGACCTGATTTTTCACTAAATCAACTCCACAATCTGAAAATAAATTAAGGGGAGGATATGACAGGCAAAAGATGGATTCTATGCTCAAGTGTTAAATAGAACACTTACTTTTGCCTGGTCAAAGGCTGGTTAACTGATGTATGAGTACAACCAAACAGGAAGAGGCTCCCTTCTAGAATTTCAGGGAAAAAATCTGAGGTGGTTTAAGACACTCAGTCCGCAAGCTAGTTAGCTCTTGACTTCCAGACTACTAGGACATCTGAAGGGAAAATGCTAGGAAATAGTCTAATATTTCTATAAAATTCTTAGCACTATCCTGGTGAATTTGAGTAAAAAGAACACATGTCAATTTCCACAGAACCCTTAAGACTGAGGCCAGAATACAGTAGAATCACCATAGTTGACCACCACCTTAAGTTGACCTAATTTTCATACACCAAATGTGCATCACAAGTATGTGTCAGTACAGTCGTCCTCGTTCCTTATGTTGACCACTTCCATATGTTGACCAGTTTGTATACCGTCCCTTGGCTAGTCAACTTAGAGGTTCTACTATAATTAAAAAGTGTATCTGAGATACAGATGCTCTTTGACTTACGATGGGATTTTTGTCCCAATGAACCTATTATAAATCAAAATATGTCAAAAATGCATTGAATACAACTAGCCTACTGAACATCATAGCTTAGCCTAGCCTACCTTAAATGTGCTCACAACTCTTACATGAGCATACAGCTGGACAAAGTCATCTAACACACAGTCTACTTTATAAGGCAGTGTTGAGTATCTCATGTGGTCTATTGAATACTACACTGAAAGTAAAAAACAGAATGGTAGTAGTGTCGTTTCTACTGAATGCACAGTTCTTCTTTGCACCATTCAAAAGTTGAAAAATCATAACCCAAACTATAAGTTGGGGACAGTCTGTAGAAAAGTTTGTTCCTTGAAAAAATAATGTATGTGAATAACTCAACCATTTGTTCTTAGGGGATTTTAACAAACTGAAAAGTTAGATGCCTCTTATGAGTTTCTTGGATAGTCAACTATACTTGTAGCTGTGATGTTAAAGTAACCACAGCAATTTATTAAGTTCACAAGGCAGTATAACTTCAGTTAAAAACTAAGGGAAATCCATGGAGTTAAACAGCTTTATGAAACAATGAAAGAAAGCTCTCCAGATGGGAGGTCAAAGTTCTCTGTGGACAATGTAGATATCCAGGAACAGACATGAGAAACAGTGATACAACTTATTTTTATATTTAAGAGAATCCCGAAGTGAGTCTGAGATAACGATATAGAGGTTTGTTACATTATCCCTATTCTACAGATTCTGAAGATGAGGAATCAAATATATACACTAGCAAGAGTAATATACGTGTATACAACGAATTAGGATAAGCTACAGTTCAGAGACAGAGGTGATCTGAGAGGCTTCCTAATCTTTGGATATTCTTTTCTTTTCTTTCTTTTCTTTTTTTTTCAAAAAATAAAGCCCCAAGATCCATCATTTTAATTTGAAAACCAAAGGACCACAGAACTAATCACTGATCAGAGTCAAGCACCAATCACTATGGACATATTTATGACAGTGGTGCTAAAATGCATATTCAATCCTAAAACACGTCAACTTTTTAACATTCAATTTTGCTGGCACGTCTTGAAGTGCTTTTCAAACTTTGTTTTATATCCTAACACAGACAAGGAAAAACATGAAGGAATTGTACTTGAAGCCCATGGTTTTACAGAAAGTACTTCAGAACTCTAAAATGACTTTACAAAGACAGGCCAACAGATAGAGAATATTTTGTAATTATAACATTTTGTAATTTTATAAACAAAGATATTTTATAAACAAAGGGTACATTTAACTACAATTTTGCATTTTTCCCTACATATGGGACTTTTGGTATACCCCATATTTCTGTAAAGGGCTAGAGAGTAAATGTGTTGTGGCCCACAAGCCCTGCCACTGATGCTTAAAAGCATCCCTAGAACATAATGAATGGGAACAGCTGTGTTCCAGCAAAACTTCATTTACAGTAAAAATCATGCAGGGGCTGGATTTGGCTCTAAAACTATAGTTTTGCTAATTACCATTCTAATTAATTAGAAGCTACCTTGTTCATATATTAGGAGAGAGTATAGAAAGAAGGGCTGGGGGAGGAGAGAGTTATTACAAAAAAATCTTTAAAATAGGAGTTAACCGTTTAAAACAAACTTAGCCATGTATCTAAAGCAGCTAAAAAGGATGACATCCAGAGACTGTGTTCAGGAAGTCTGTGGATAGTGTTATATCCATAGTGATTCTTTTTTTAAATCGAAGTGACAATAAAAAATAGGGCAGTGCCTCTGGCTCAAAGGAATAGGGCGCCGGCCCTGAGTGCTGGAGGTGGTGGGTTCAAACCCAGCCCCAGCCAAAAACGGCCAAAATAAATAAAAATAAAACTGTTGGACTAAGAAAAAGATAGGAAAATGTATTCTTGTTAGGGTGATAGGTGAGGTCCTGAAATCCCTGGAGGGTTGTAGGCCCCACTGCTCATGCATTCTCAACTCCACTCTTGAGTTGGGGCAGATTGCTGAATTCTAACCTCGGCTTTGCCACTATGACCTCAGACAAGGCGCTTAGCTCTTCTGGGCCAGTTTCCTCATCTGTAACACCTCTTCCAGCAACAAGTGTGGGATTCTATGAAACACACATCACAGTGGACTCTGAGAAATTCTAACCCTCTGTCCCCTTGTATGAAATTAAACAGTATTTAAGGGTGAGAGAGAACTATAGCATTTAACTACTGTTTAGCAGGATTTTCAATCACAAAACAACCTTCTGAAGATTTTGGTTTAGATAAAAAGGTACTCACTTTATTCAAGATTTTATGAAAGAACTTTCAGCAATCACTAGGTTATCAACTCTAATTTTCCTGGGAACGTCACTGGTCCTCTGGGTCACTTTACTATGAGTACCTCTTAGATATACTGACTTTTTAAAGATAGCAGCTGAGAATAAGAGAGCAAAGGCAGGCTGGCCAGAGGGTCAGCAAGGCCGTGTAGGTGACTGCTCAGCATGGGAATTAAGAGTTTCTGTCCATTAAGGGAGAATGATTTTTACGGTTTTAATATAGCAATATTCACATTATGTGATTGAGGCTGAATATAATGTTAATAAAGATGAGGATAGAGGAAGGAAATGGCCAGTTATTTTGAGAGCTAGATGTACATGTACAGTAGTTAGCATGATCACTGATTTTGTACTAATTAAAAATTCCTAGAAAGGCTGAGTGCAGTGGTGCTGAGGGCCTTCAGGGTGTTGAGGTCAAGAGTTCCAAAGAGTATAAATTCTATGTTGCACCTCTTGGCTTCTTACACACGTTTATACACTATATATAACCACTTATTGCAGATAATTCCTAATCTCTTGCCTTTAACTCCTAACCAGTTTCCAAAAGTGTTGCATTAAGGACTGAAGCTTTATGCCAACTTCATAGCTAACTTTCTGAGCCTACCGTGAATTCATTCCAGAAAATTAAATAACCAAAATGAAGGGAACATGAATGTCCATATTCAAACCACCCACCAAAAAACCAAAATTGAAATAGTTTTCTGCCAACCACAGTCAATTCTACATAATGCAACACATATGTTCCTGAAATCACTGCTCCGGGCAAAATTGCACAGCAGAAATCACAGAGCTTATGGGAAAAATGGGACCAGGACACAACACCCCAAACATCCATCAGTTACACATTAAAAAGAAAAGGGAACCCAGTAAAAATAGTAGCATAGTTTTAAACATGCTACATGATTTGGAAATAGACAAATACCACAGCAAATATGACAAGTTACCTTGCAAAAGATCTGAGGCATGCCTGTGGTTGCAGGCGTCAGAAGGGTGGCAGATCTTGAGTGGTTATTAAGTAGAGGAAGCTGATCTGATGTCAGGTGGAAAGTTCCAACTCAAGATAATGGAGTGTGAGTCATCACAAGCACAGTGAGCTGAGGGGCTGGTGGGTGAGTGCAATGTGGGCGTTTTGTGTCCCTCTGCAGCTTAGTTCACCTTGGTGTAACTTCCTGCGTTCACCTAATGTTCCTGTGGACCAAGCTGCAGGCAGTGTGAGTTGTGCATTATACTTAGAGGAGCCCCTAATATATCAATTACATTAGAACAAATACAAGTTTTCAAAACAAGTGTTACGCTTATGTATGTTAGCCAGGAACCAAGTGGAATGCCGTAAAAAAGCCTTCCATTCATCAAATTCCCAGTGAAATTTCAAAAGATGCTGACACATAGAGAACTAAAAATAAAATGATGTGACTTTAGAGGGTATTCGTTGAAGAGAATGAATTTTTTCCCCTCTGCTTGTTCAACTTGCAGTAAGTCAATTTTGTTATGAAAGTTTCCATTATTTGCTGAATAAAATACTTCAGCTTGAAGGCAAGGCTTTATCAACTAAAGATTCAATTTTACTTTTGCAAGGATTAGCTAAGACATTCTCAGTACCAAGTACTGTACTTAAAATTTGTTTGCAACAAGGTAGAGCAACACAATCGAAACAGGAACCAACAATTCACTTCGTGAGTCAAAGTGCTTTATTTTGGAAAGCCCGGCTCATGACGAGTGTCTTGTTAGCACTAGGAGATACAAGGCAAACTTCCTCATTCTGTCCGAATAGTTTATCAACAGAAACAGATGACAGAGACTGTTACAGACAAAAATAAAAGCATTTTGTAAACTTCTAAAGCATATACAGATTGGCCACAAAGGAAACGGTTACTCAAATGATGTATGTGTACCTTATCCTGACATCAGGGTCTTAACGTGTGTAGCCTTGGGTTAAAGAAACCAGAGAACTTCAGGACACTAAAACTGATTTGATGCCCATATTAATGGTGAGGCGGTGGGGTGGGAACCAAATCACAGTATCCATCAATTTAAATACATAAAATACAAATTTGTACAATTATGTTACAGTGGTGTTAACATCATCTGTTGAGGATAACAAATCTATGTAAAGTCAGAAGATAGTAGTAGGGATGACGTTGCTGCTGGCTCCCAAAGGTTCTGCGAATCAGTCCATATACACTGGGCACAACTGCAGTCTGGACAGTCCTGAAGTGAAGTTTCTGGAAAAGGCAGCATGGCGGGGGTGGGGTGAGTGGGGGGGATTTGTTGAGCTGTAAGTAATAATTAAACAGTGGATTTTTTTCCTTTTCTGAAACTGCTTACAAAAATCATGTCACATCTTAAAGAATTTCAAAGGCACAGCTTTAACACAGCATATCAGTGGACAACCTGTTCTAAGCAAGTCTAATATTTTAGCCTGACGCCTTTCGGAAAACGTGGGCAAGTTGGTAGATGCATGATCTAGGTTGGAAATCTATAACTTGATTAAAAACAATCAGCACAGTTTAGGGCAATGAACTTACATAACCAGATTTGGGTGAAGTCTCTTTAAGAAAATCATTAGTTGATAAACGTCCATCTGGAGGAAACAGAGCAATCCTTTTCCTTTCTATTGTATAAGACTGTCCACCAGGTGCTCTAGAACATTCATTCAAAAACATGACTGCAGGATACATCTCAAACTATGATAAACATTATTTCACCTATACTGTAAAATGACTTTACATGTAAACTTCAAAGATCACAGGCTGTACATTAAATTTTTAGATTCAAAAATATCCCTGTTTTCCTAATAATGTAAACAGTCAAACTGAGGGTTTCAGTTAAAGGGATAATTTGTAACAAAATCCCACTGTGAGTGATGGTCAGACATAAACATAATTCAGATCTGCATTCTGTAACAGGAATTGAGTTTGAACACTTTGCTCATGTTCCAACAGTGAGAAATGTAGATACCATTGCCCCAAACTATGCACTTTTCAGGTAAGCTTTGTTTTTTTTTGTAGCATTAATTCCTATACTGCAACTTAAGGGTGTAATGATGTAGAGGTTCCAGGCAAGAAAAGAGAAGTAAGCAGTTTTCCTGGACATATGTACTGAGGTGAAAATGTATAGACAGAGTCACTGGGACATCAGCTTCTTGGTGGAGGAGGGGACACTGTTAAAGGACAGAACCCTGAACCAGTACATGTAGAGATGCCAGCGTTCCTTCCATCCAGTGCTGGGGGCTCGGGTTACAACTATAAAGGAGTGTCTGCGTGACGGGTAGAAGTGTAACATTTGTAGTTATGTTTCTTCCCTTTAATCATCATTATTATCATCATTATTATTATCTGCATTATTATTATGAATACTGTCTCAAATCTTTCCAACTTAAACCGATCCACAGTTCATCATGTGATGCCCACATGGTTGCTCCGACATGCATTTCTTCCCCTCCCCCCACATATGTGCATTCATGTGTTCATTCATTTCATTCATTGGCCCACAGCTGGAATCAGAGGGTTTTCGTTGTAACACATTCTGACCGAAGCTGATCGGTTTTAATGACTTTAAAATGCACACGCGTGTGCGCCCATGCGCACTCGCACACACTCAAGTCAAATAGCTAGAACGATGCTGGGAAGGATCGGGCAGCTGTAAAGCGAGGAGCCCCCAAATCAGTCATCTTGGCCGCAGATGTAAACAAGGAGGTTTGCTTCCTGCAAGATGAGTGCTTTACTGAGTTTGGTTTTCATTTTTTTCCTACACTGAAGCCACCTCTGTCCGTCCCATGCTCATGTCCGTCCAAGGTTACGCAGGAGGTTACGTCAAGATGTGGCCAATAAAGTCCAAAAAGCGCTTTGAATACTGTTCTGGGTTCACGGTTGAGATCTCTGCGCCAGCCTGTTTATAAAGGAAGGGAATATTGATGATTCCCCCAGGTTACGACTCAATAGCTACAACTACTTCCAATTGTGGCTGAATATAAAATGAGCCATTTTCAAATCTATGCAGCCTTTTCAAACCTCACTCGAAATACCTTAGCTATGTGGCTGAGTAATCAAGGTTTTATGCATATGAGGTAAAAAGCACCAAATGCTATTATCTCAAACACAGCGACTGTGGCAACTTTAGAAGAAAAATCAACTTAGCCATGTTTAGGATGTTCCTATCAAACAGTGGAATCATTTAGAAGCCCAGGGACAAATACTTTTATTTTCAAGGCAGACTGGAGATAACTTGAATGACATAAATGCCAACATTTGACAAAAGGAAAACCTTTATCAATGAATTAAGGATCGTTAATTCTTTAGCATCCCCTTAGTTTAAGGAGCTCAGTGCTCAAAAACAAGGGGTCACAATAGCAGCACTAGGCTTCTTTGCACTGTACCCAGGTGGGACACAGCACTGCTGGCTGCATCTCCCCCTCGGGGACAGGGGCTGTTTCTCTCTGCAGCAGGCACAGGAGGGCCATTATTCCCCCCTCAGAGCCAAGCCCGCCCCCTTGCAGAAGTCCAGCAGGGAAATTTCCATCATCAGAGGCACAGCGCCGGCCAGCACACTAAAGAGAGTCACTGGCCAGTTGTCTGAGGTGCAGGAGGCCAGACCTGAGTTTTACTGTTACCAGGTGCTATTTTTAGATATCTGTGTTCACAGGGTAACTTGTAATGCCCTAGCCTGGGCTGTTGGGGTCTCCACAGAGGAGTCCAGGTCTTGAAGGCAGTGAAAGGTCCTGGACAGCACCACAACAAAACATTCCTTTGCCACAAATAATGCCTTGTTCTAGCAAATGGCCCACAGTTTTAGTGGGTCTGTTATGGAGCTGAACTAGCCACTTACTAGTGTGGCGCCCTGCTGAAGGTTCCCTTCAATTTCATCTCTGTCTGATACCAGGATAAACCTTTGCAAAACATCTGCCCAGCATTTGGCCTAGTCATCTCATATATCCCCCCATAAAATCCCATCACACAAGTCATTAGGAGCCCTGAATCAGATGAAGGCACTTTGCCCCAGGAGTGTTCGCTTCAGGACATACAAGTGGGAAAAGTGAAACAGGGATTGCACTGGGTTCTGACTCTGCAATACACTCACGGTTTTCAAGCAGAGGTGAGCCTCAGAATTGCCACGGGGCTTTTGAAGACTGTTCCCTCAACCTCCTGAACTGGCCTCAGAATCAGGAAAAGAGGACAGTGCATCTGGCACAGACACGGTTTAAAAGTGGTGGTCAGAAGGTGCCGTCTGGTGAGTGCTAACTGCTGTACCAATGCACTCAGCCAGCTGGGTCAGGTCCTTGTCTGTGCTCTGCACACAGAAGGAACACCAGAGCTGTGGACAGTGTGCCTGAAATACTTCTATGGCAGAGGGAATATGCTTTTAGGCTGGGTTTCATTTTAAAAAAGAGAAAAAGCATTTGTGAGTTTGTTGGTTTTAGTATATCTTGGTCAGCACTATAGCATCTATGGAAGGCATCTCTCCTAGGGTCCGCAAACCCATCTCTGTGCGATGGGCTCTTTATGGTTTTCTAATACACCTGGAAAGCTAATCCCCAATGCAAGCAGCAAATACTAAGTGAATTGTGGAGTCCGTCACGGGTAGGGGCTCACTGGAGAGGGCTGGGTCCTGGGGAGGGGGAATCCCTTCTCTGCACCCTCCTAGCTGGGCAGTTTGAGAAGTCACTCCCGACTGTCCTCAGCTGCTTTGACTGACAAGAGGGAGTGCCCTGGTATCTCCCTCACAGGTTTGTGATGGAGATTCAACAAGTTAACATATACCTAGAAGAGTCATAATTCTGGGCAAGCACAGTAAAGGTGAGGAATTAATATTCTGAAACTTTGATTTTTCACTCAAAGACTTCTATAGTAGGAAAAAACGATTCCAAGAAAAAGCCTATAATTCAGTTTATTTTGGAAGTATCTTAAGCAGAGAACTGTGCTTCAGTTCTGAATAGTTCATATTAAAACACTTAACTATCTTCAGCACTTTTATCTCTGGAATATTTTTTCAAACAAAAGAGAACTTGTATAATAATCTAGTGATGCACATGGCTATTAATATCCCCAGTGTATGGCCAGGCACTGTAGCTCATGCCTGTGATCCCAGGATCTTAGGGAACTGAGATGGGAGCATCAGTTGAGGCCAGGAGCCGAAGACCAGCCTGGGCAACACAGGGAGACCCTATCTCTACACATAATAGAAAAATTAGCTGGCTGTGGTGGCACATGCCTATGGTTTCAGCTACTTTAGAGGCTGAGGTGGGAGGCCCCCTTGAGCCCAGGAGTTAAAAGGTACAGTAAGCTTCCATCACGCCATTGCACTCTAGCCTTGGTGACAGTGTGAGATCCTATCCCTTAAAAAAGAAGAATCCCCAGTGTGTGAAAAGAGATGCACCAGTGACTCTCCAGAAGCTGCAGGGGGTCTCAGTAAGAGCAGAGATAAGCAGTTAGCATTTGCTGGCTCTGAGTCTTACACTAAGAACTTGCCCCCTACAGGGAACAAGCATCACTAAAGGGCTTTAACAGCTCAGTAGAAAGGAGCCAGGCAATAGAAAGGAGTGGTCCCTGCACAGACAACATCCAGGACCCCAGAGTCAGAGCAGGAGACAAAGGAGATACTCACGCCATGTTTAACAGTTTTTGCAGCATGGGCAGCTTTCTTTTTTGCATCATAATGAGTAAGGATGTCAATAATGGCCATGAAGTACACTTCCTTCCTCGGAGAGTCTGTCGAGAGATGAGAGGAGCTATCAGGAGCTATCACGGTCAAATACCAACCCTGGGGACAGCAAGAGCTGCCAAGGGAAGGAGAAGGGAGGCTGGAGCGAGAGGGAATCAGTGGGACTGGGATGGAAATAAACCCCACACAACCCCTACGAAACCCCACCAAATAGCCAGCTTGCCTCTAATTTAAAAAGCAAAGCAAACCAAAACAAAAACATTATGGCTTAGGATATTAACAGAGGAGGTCTTAGGGTAGGACCGAGTATTTTTTTATTTTTGGTTAATCTGAAATTTCTTTAATGACTTTATATTGCTTTAGTATAAAGAAAAATGCTCTTTTAAATATAAAACAAGTAGAACTAATTATACTCCTTAATCCTTATCAACTATTTAATGTACTGTTCATAATTCCCACTGGATATAGAATTAGAACTGGATAATGGCATACATCATCTCCAATACATATTTTCTCTACATTTCCAAAAACATGATGCTGTTTCATTTAGGAACAATAAGAAAAATACATTTGACTATATCTAATTTCCTGTGTTGAAGACATAATTTTAGTGATCAAAATAGAAATATAACAAAACACAACTCAAACTCCTTGGTTAATGTGCCAAAGATTTTTTTTTTAAAATATTAATCAACACCTCATTACTCAAAAGAGGTTGCTTTTATTATATCACTAAAATATTTTGGGTTTTTCATAGCTAGGGAGCTACAGTAGAATGTAATATTCCGGATGCAAATATCTGAAATATTGGATATCTGGCTAGTGAGGATTAAGACTGATCAGACTTTAAAGAAGGCCAGACCCTTCTGTGGGGTTAGAAGGCAGAGAGGCAGACACAGATGCAAATGTCTGAGAGGAAAAGAGGTGAAGGGCAAAGACATGCCCGCCTTAAGAGACAGCTGCCTGGGGGGTCACAGTAAATCACAAATGCTAATGAGGAAAAGATTATGCTTTAAAAAAACCCACTTATGTACATTATATTTATGTAAGTGTGTATATATGGGCATTGCACGTATAAAGTATTTGTAGTTTCACTCTATTCCTTGAATATCACCAAATTCAAAGACCTGATCACATTACATTTCAGCCCTGGAGATCAGTTACCTTTTACATATTCTTATCCCCAAATACATTTATTTGGTCTTCGGAGAGTGAGTCTTACAGGGCAGCCCACTTGGCACTGGAGTGAAAAGAACAACGCAAAAATCGAACCACTCCCTGTGCTAGGAGTCCACAGTAAGCTTACGTTCATGGCACTTAATCCCGTAGACATCGATGTTAGGATCGAATTCCCCTGGAGCCAAGGGTGGTGAGCTGTTCAGTGTGTTCCCGGGGCTGTCTGGAGGGGTTCCCACCGGGTGGGTGCCATCGCTCTCCCCTTCTTCCTCCCCCTCATTCTCTTCACACTCCACTTCCTCCTGTTCGGCTCGCTCCACGTCATGAATTCCCACCAGCAGGCTGTAGTCCATGAGCTTTAGCTGGGCAAGAAACTAGGATGGGAGGAAGGCGACAGGGTCAGTCACGCCTTAAACACCAAAGCTGAGATTTACAAGGCAAGCTCAGGACAGCACACAGCTGGGAGGGCTGGGAGGTCCCTGGCTGGGCCAGATGCATGCCCAGGCCATTTCTCTGGCTGCAAATGCAGCCTCACACTAGGCTGGCTCAGAGCTTGTGTTATTTTCCTGGGCTGGCAGGATGGATGCTGGAGAGGTCCACCCAAAGTCCATCTATCACAGGGAGGTTGCATTACACTCAAGAGCAGGGAGTGGAGCTGGCAAGTAAGGGAGGGAAGAGCAAGTTTCTCCCAACAATTCAGACTGGCTAGTGAGAAAAACTGGGGACCTCCCAACTAGCTTCCAGTAGAACCTTTCAGAATAGTCTGGGGAAGCACTTTGCAATTCAGTACACTCTTCTATTATTGTGCTGTCACAAGTAAGTGAAGGCCCAAAGGTCCCCACTGCCCAGCAGAGGCATTGTGGGAACCCTGGTCAGTAGGGCAGTCCTTTCCTGACCCAATTTCCTCCTGATAGAGTAGGGGTTGCAAGACACTGAAGGAGCTTTGCTTTCTACAAGGTGCTCTGTATACCCAGGGGTCCTGTCCTCCCTCTTCTCCTCCAGCCATGCCTATAATATAATGTACGGCCAGATCTAGCTCTGTGTGCATGACTACTGTGCCTTTTTTCTTTTACTTTTCTGATCATGATTTTTTTATTTTCTAAGTAGATGCACCAAGATATGGGCCTTTTGGCACAATGTTCTGACTGAGCCATTGGAATATGGATGGTATTACTGAGGGCAAACGTGGCAGCCCATCTGCTGCCCAGAGCCACGGCTGCCTGATCCTCTAGCTGGCTGGCTCTGCACAGGAGCTTGTCCTGCCCTGACCCTGGGCTCAGGTCCATGGAGGTGCATGGCCCTGACTCTTGGAGAACTCAGCACCACCCCTGCTCATGACACAGAGCAGATGACTGGCCTCCGGACTACTCTGATAGAATTTAGGGAGTGAACTTGCTTACATAAGGGGCAAGTGGATGAAATTATAGATCTTGAAGTTTTGGCTAAAAAATGAAATGAAATCAACATGCCAAGACCTGCAGAGCCATTTCTTCCTCCTGCCTGCCGGGAAGCAGCCCTGCCTTGGAGCTGAAAGTGAAGCCACATGTCTTTGCAGACCAGGAGAGGCCCTCTGGGCACATGCCTGCTTGTGTGTTCTGCTCTCCAGCTGTTTCCTGAGACCTTCCAACTTTCACCAGCCCCCGTCCTGCCTGCCATCATCCCTTCCCAAGCTCCCATTCTGTTGCCTTCCCACCATGAATTCCCAGGGGCCAGCCAAAACTTTCCCGTTTTGAGCTCAGATAAAAAAGAAATACAGTGCGGAGATCCCACTCACCACCATGCTTCGATTCAGTGTTCTGGGCCCCAGAGGCAGGGGAAGCAGATGCTTCTCCCCGAGGAGGCCTTTCCCCAGACTACACCATTGTGTAATCACAAGAACCAACTTTCCATTTCTACCTCCCTCAACCAGACTTCCTTCCCAGTGGTCAGAGACCACTTATCCTCCCCTAGAATCATGGCGGTGGCTGAGCTTCAGGGTGGACACGGTCAGGGACGTATTAGTGGGGGACTGCCTACTCCAGCTGAGCTGGCAGAGAATTCCAGTGCTGTGGCTGCTGGAGAAAACCCTACAGCAAAGTCTTGTTGAACCCTGTACTAACAGTCCTGTCATCCAGCCCTGTTTTAAGAGAGTCTAGGGAGGTGGGAGAGAACTGAACACCATGGGGTATAGAAACACAAAAGAGAACATGAGGGTTCAAAGCTACAGAGAGTAGACTGAGCTGTAAGAAACTCTGATCAATCTACTTAAAGCATTAAGGAAAAATCATGCTTAGTAGGGAAAAATAATGCTTAATAATAATGCTCGATAATGCTTAATAGTGAAAAAAATGCAGCCAAACTCTAACAGGCCAGTTAGTTAAAAAGCATGCAACTGATGAAAAAAGCAAACTAAATTCTAGGCTCATTGTCAAGATCAGATGTCAAGCCACTTCATCACAATTACCTGCTTAAAAATTTAATGATGCTTCTGCATGAATTTCAAAACTAAGGACACTGTTATCAGCTATTGAGTATTTTTAAATGAAAGAATGCTTTATGCCTTGCTTCCATAACAACAAAACAGCTAAGTGTATGGGATTAGATTATCGAATCCTCTAATCGACGGCATTATTAGAGACAACAAAGGGCTAAGAGGATCCTTCTGTAATTCAATTGTAAATTTAAATTGCTTGAGTTACACTATTTGAGTCTAAATAGCATAATGAGATACAGCCAACAGAATAAACAATTTTTGGCAGGTGACAGATAACCCTAAGGGCTACTTACTATAATTCCTACAATAATATTCTCAGTATCAAAAATTTGGTGATTAATCAATAAAAATACAAAAGAGAGGATGTTTACCTAGGGTACTTAATTATCAGTTAGGTCAAAGTGATTCCAAAGGGGGAAATGCTTAACATTTTAATAATAACAGATAACTAAGGAAAACTAAAGGCTCCTTAAAGGAAAAAAAAAGTTACATGATAAAAGCAAACAATCGTATCTACTTTTGTTTAAAGTAGACAACTGTACCTTTCACAAATAACTAATATTTAAGTCCTAATCCAAGCATGATGGTTAAAATAATGTGAAAGACCTTATTTTAAAAATTTGATTTAAAAATTAAGAATTTAATCTGTCTTGCAATATAAAGAGATCTGTCTTGCAATATAAGGAGCTATGAGAAGATCAAAAAGGAAATTATAATACTGCTTCTGCCTTTGTGGGGAATGTAATCAAATGTATGATATTCCTTCTTTGGCTCTAATCATTTAAATTTGTTGTTTAATGATATAAAAATCTTTGCACTGTGACCACCTTCCTACAGTGACCACCTCCTTAAGTTGATGTAATTTTCATAGACTGGACATATACCACATGAGCTCAATGGAACGTCAATGGAAATTCCTTATGTCTTTGTATGTTGCCCGGTTTTAGCTGCAGGCGCAGACAACTCATAGAGGTTCTACTATATGTGTATTTGCTTTGGTTGCAGGTTTAAATAGAAGGTTTAAAAAGCTCCCGAAACCCTATTGTCACTTATACAATAGAGTTGTCCTTTACACTGTTCTTACCTCAACATCCTTTTTCAGTTTTTCCAGGAACACTTTTTTGTTGTTATCATCAATATAAATCTTTTGGCCCTTATTAATGAAATCGTTATCCTTCAATGTTGGTAGTTCTTTGGCCTAAAACAAATGAAAGGAAAAGAAAGAAGCTTGAGCAACATCTAAAAAACACATACCCCTTCCAACCCTTGACACTGAAGTCTGCCCTGTCCACTGCCTGGTGTGGAGTGGGGTGTCTTACCCAAGGCAATAAAGTGGGAGGCAACCTGAGCACCACAAGGGGGCACCATCGAGCTAAGACCTTTTGGAAGAATTCCCAGGAGGAATGGAGGTCAAACTCCATGTCAGAAAGCTTTTTGTAACACCCATCATGTTTTTCATAGGAATGAACTGGACTACTTTCTTAGATTCATTTTTTTACAATTAGTTTTCTAAGTATAGAATTTGTATTCTTAGAACAATTTGTGAGGAACCTTCAATTTTCTTCCCAGTTCAACCCAAATCCCTCCCACACTTTTGGGTAGCCTTGGAGGGCTCACATTACAAATAACGTGTCATCTTGTCTTAGAAAAGCCTCCTCCATGATCATATTGACTTTCTGGGTCAAGGAGAACATGTGACTAGAGGTTAGCCATTTGCCCTTCTAAACCTTCCTATCCTCCACTCTACCCAGAAGGTAATTCTCTTCTCATATGGATGAAATCCAAGGAAATGTATTAAGACAGAAGTTCTACCTTTTACAAATAAGAGAGAGGGTGAGCTGGGAAGTAACTGCACTGATGCCAACCAGCACAGAGAAACCAGAGACTATCAAAGGGTGGGTTATGAGCAGAAAAAACTTTTGTTTGTGCTGCAGCATATAGGATAATACAGCCATATCATTCCAAAACAGTGTGGGTTATTCTATTTAACTGCATGCAACTTGCATTCTGGGAGAGCTCAAAACCAAGTGAACCCCACCCTCTTGAGCCTACCATGAAAGGGATCCAATGTAATGCCTTTCTTTCTACATCAGTGAATCTCTTTTCCCTAAATGTGAACGAAATGAAAAAAAAAAAATAATCCAAGGAAATGACACATCCTCCTTTGTCCCTGTGGGGCTCCGCTCCCCTCTTTATTCAGAGCAACAAAAGATAGCTCTGGAGCTTGGACCATGTCTACCAAACCATTTCAGATGTGTGATCTGTGTACTTTCCCCTGTCACTTATAAAGTATGCACATGTATGGAGACAGTCACATCTCTCCACACACGTGTCTATATACATCATGCATTTCTAAATCAGTAGCATTAGCTACTAATGTTGCTTAACTTTGAAAAGAGAAAATTGGAACGGTTTTGCAACTTGAATTAGATCTACCTACTGCCAAAATTATTATCTTGACAAAGCAGGCACAGCAAAGCTCAGAAATCCAGAAACTGGATTCAATAGGCAGTTACTAAATTACTGTCATGTATGGAGAGGCAAATAACGACACTAGTCGAAATTTCCACCCTAAAGGAGTTTGTAATCCCATATAGGAGAAAGATATGAAAGTAGGTAGGAAATAAGGCAGTATGAATATGTATTATGCACAGATAGTTAAGATTCTGGGGTGGGAAACTGATCTAATTTCACTTTTATGCTGAGTCAGAGAGTCTTCAGGAAATGAAAATGCAACGACCTTTACAAAAATTCAGGATAGGTCTGCTAGAGACTAACCTCTAAATCTGTCAATAGTAATTTTAAAATAATGTAAGTATTAAACCCACAAAACTCTGAAGATAGCACATTAATGTTAAAAGTCTGGTGTCACTGACTCAAACTGTAAGGGTTTTCTCTTCTCCTGTTAGAACCATAAACACAGTGAAGTTTCACAGTGAATGAAATGCAAAGTTCTGCAGTTTAATGCAACTTAGAGGGTAGTGGGAAGATAAACGCTGCTCAAAATACAAAATTGGGAGCATCCCTAGAAGAAAAGGTCGAAACCAGACCTACCAACACAACAAAAACAGGAGGAACAGAAAATCTCTGAGCAGACACCCTGGGCGTTTCTGTGTAACTGTGTGTTAGGGATGGGGGGGTGTGCGTGGGCAGGGGTGTTAAAGATTAAGACATCTGCCTCAATTCCGTAACTCACTTTGTATGCATAAGAAAAGAGAGAGGGCTTTTTTTGGTTTTGTGTGAAGGCAGAGCTGACAGACCACAGCCGAGGTGGTAAGTTACACATTAGATGTGTCTTTGTAACACAAGTCACATTAATGAAGACGAATGCCACTTCAGGCTCACCCCACAGAATTACCTCATGCAACAGGGAAAGTATAATTCTTCCTCGTAAAACTCTGGACACCCTGTACTGTACGACTAAGCTTACTCGTGAATTTTGCAGGCACTAGGGACGCATTTAAGATTGGATCAAGTTCACAAAAGGGCATCCAGATTGGTTAAAAGGCTTAAGAGCTTACTGAAAGGGCAGGAGGCGAAGGTGGTTCCTTAGCAGGGCAGCTGTGAGCACGGAATCCAACACTGGTCTGCAAATACCCACCTCCCAAATGTTTGCTATGAGACGGGGTGCTGGGGGGGGGGGCGGCAGCAGGGTTTTGGAGTCATGAACACACAGGGAAGATTGCAATGCCAGTTCCACCCCTTACCCACCAGGGACATGGGGCCAGGTTCCCAGCCCTCTCCAAGCTGTTCCCTTATGTGCAGAAGGGGGGAAAGCCACTACTGCCACCTGCGGCAGCCTTAGGTACTGCGCTTAGCGCTTAGGGCGATACATGCAAATAAAGTTATGCACACAATCTACTCTTTCAACAACCTTAACTATTATTCTTATCCACATTTTATAGATAAGAAAACTGAGATGATGTATTTTAACTATGTAACTGATGAGCAGAGATAGGAAACTTTATTCTGCTAACGTAAAGTTGTGCTCAGAATTCAACCAGAATCTGTGTGACACATTTAAATAGTGCTTCTGGGCATGATGGCAAAATGCTATAATTCTGGCACTTTGGGAGGCTGAGGCAGGAGCAGGAAGATCACTTAGAGACCAGCCTGGGCAATAGAGAGACCCCTCCTCTACAAGAAATACAAAAAGTAGCCGGGTGCAGAGGTGCGTGCCTGTAGTCCCAACTGCTCAGGAGGCTGAGGCAGGAAGACCCCTGGAGTCCAGGAGTTCAAGGCAGCAGTGAGCTATGATGATGCCATGGTACCTAGCCTGGGTGACAGAGTGAGAATGTGGCTCCAAAAAAAAAAAAAGTGTAAGACTTGTTATTACAATCACCACCATCATTATCATCATGGTGATCATTTAATAAAATGTACAGATTAAAAACTGATATTACAGGTTGAGCGACTGCACACAAAATATTTTCTTTTAAAAACCCAACTTGGTTACTATATAACAAAGATTAAGTCATCAATGACTCCCCATCAAGAAAATCTTATTGTGTAGCTTTTTAAAAAAAATTTCAATATATCCCTCTAAATATGGGCAGTGTTTATATTATAAACATTTTTTTTAATGAGGAAAACTATTAGGACCAAACAGAACCTAACAAGCGCTCTTGGTATAAAACTGCCCACAAAGGTGATGTGTATCAAACAGCACACAGAATTAATAACGGATTCCAGCCCCTGCCTTTGTTTTTTTTTTGTGTGTGTGGTTTTTGGCCAGGGCTGGGTTTGAACCTGCCACCTCCAGCGCATGGGGCTGGCGCCCTACTCCTTTGAGCCACAGGCGCCATCCCAGCCTCTGCTTTTAAACACTAGATTATTTGCACTGATGTTCCAAGCTCATAGTCACTGAGTCTGGTTCTTTAATAGGTGTCTTTTAATATCCTCCCTACTTCAGCACAGAAACTGCCAGAAGGTGGAGGAAACCCCCAAGGCTAACTAGAGACAGCTCAGAAACACTTCTTAGCTGTGAACTCTGAGACCTGCTTCCAGTCAGTGGTCAGCAACATTTCCCAAGTGGGAGCAGGTTAAGTCTTTATTTGCTCTAAATTCAGTTCTCCTGGGCAGTTCCAAGGTCACTGGAGCCTTAAAGCTCAGTAGGGCAACTTCAATACAATATGTACTTGGGGGGAGAGCAGACATGGGGGGGACGTTCTCTTTCCCCTTCCCCCGCTTCCCCCCTCCCCCGTGGGCCCCACAGGACTCCAGAGCTGCTACAAGGCCCTGGCCAGCTGAGGCTGGGGAGGACATGACAAAGCCTGATTCAGCCCCAGGCCTGCAGAGACAAGGCTGTTTTCTCTAAGGCATGAGGCAATTCTGCTGTGTAACGGAGTGGACTCCAGATGGCATTCATCTCCACTAATGTGACATGGAGATGCACAGGAAGGCATCAGCAGAGTGACACTGTACCCCTGCAACCTAGCTATACCATCTGGGTAAAATAGGATGCGGGGTGATGCCTACCGGGCCCCAGTGGGCTCCACTTAGGAGACTGAAGCATGTGGTTGTGAGCACACGCCAGATCCCAGCTCCTCCACTTATCTGCTGTGTGACTTCGGCCAACTTAACCTCTCAGTGACTTGGTTTTCTTTTTTAAATGGGATTAGCAAACATAGGGTTCTAATGAGCTCATATGTGTAAAAAGGCTTAAATCAGGGCCTGCCACATGGCCCATTATACATTAGCCCAGATATCACTGTTTGTATCATGAATCTAGAAAAAGTTTCACTGTGATAAATCCAGAGTGATATTCTTTTTAAATATACTGAAGTATTTAACATTTCTATACTAGCTGTGATATTCCTGCCACTTAGTCTGCCCAGACCTCAGTTTCCTTAAAGCAGCGGTTCTCAACCTTCCTAATGCCACGGTCCTTTAATACAGTTCCTTGTGTTATGGTGACCCCCAACCATAACATTACTTTTCTTGCTACTTAAGGCTTAAAGGAAAGTTAATACTGTATGTGCTTATGAAATAGGTTAGTGTGTGAATTAAGTGACACAAGCACACTGTGCTTGGCAGTAATAACTTGCTGTAAATTTGTTTCCTTTTATTTTTTTCCCAGTTTTTGGCCAGGGCTAGGTTTGAACCCACCACCTCCGGTATATGGGGCTGGTGCCCTACTCCTTTGAGCCATAGGTGCTGCCCCTTCCTATTTTTTTTTAAATAGGTTCTTTAAATTTA